TCAAATCACCATGGTTGATCCTTACTTTCTCTCACCATCTACTGTTCATTCGATTTGATTTTGTTTTGTTTCGACTTTGATTTCCTCAGCTAACTTGATTTCATCTTCTGTTTCTCAAGACTGAAAATGTGGCGTCGCCTCCGTTGAAGCTTTACTCGTACTGGCGAAGCTCTTGCTCTCAACGTGTTCGAATTGCCCTAAACTTGAAAGGTCTTTCATCTCTTCTCCATTTTTCTTCTCTTTTCATCTCATGGTTTTAATTTCTGTCTGGTAATCGATTGTTCGCTGTTCGTTGTTTGAGATTGCTTTTTTTTTTTCTTCTTCTTTAGTTCTGATTGTTGTTGTTGTTACTGTTTTCAGGGCTAAATTTTGAGTACAAAGCAGTTAACCTACTGAAGGGAGAGCAATTCACTCCCGGTAATGGTTATGCTATCTTTTCTGTATTTTGGATTTAAGGTTTTCTACGTTTACTCATTTGTTTCTGAGGAAGTTTGTATTCTTCTACCATCGTCTTCTGCTTTTAAATTTCTTTCTCAAGGAAGTTGAAGCTGATTTTCTCCGTTTACTTTGTTTTTGTCCTTGTTTTCCTGATGTTTAGAATATGAAAAAATCAATCCCATCGGTTATGTACCTACTCTCGTGGATGGGGATATCGTTATTGCCGACTCTTTTGCTATATTAATGGTTTGTTCTTTTCATTTCCAAATTATCTATGATAAGTTTTCAGTTGTGTAGCTGTAACAGATCGCTTGTATTTGTTTTAAACATACAGTATTTAGAGGAGAAGTATCCTCAGCATCCTCTGTTGCCAAGTGATCTGAGTAAAAGAGCTGTTAATTATCAGGTATGTTGCATTTGTTAATCATGTCTGGGATTAATGTACATTTGATACTTGCAAATGTGCAAGAAATGCGCCAAAATAACAAGGGAGGGACTAGTTTGTATGGGGGCTGGGGACTAATATCTATTTGTGGAAATTGCAATTGTATAAAGCTATGTGGCTAGAAGGACCGCAATGGAGGGAGCCTAAGGATTCTTTTTTACCCGTTGTTGTATGTAACATTAAAGTAACTTCTTTAAGTTTTTTCTCAGGCTGCAAACATTGTTTCTTCTAGCATACAGCCTCTTCAAAATCTAGTTGTTCTGGTGAGCACATGCATTCTTTTGGCATTTAGTTGATTTGATGCTCTTTTATTGTTTTTCCCCTCATTGTGTTTTGATCTTATATATATGATGTTTTCCATTCACTTGTTTGTTTCCTCCTTCTGCTTGGTATTTTTGAGGTTTTTAATCTTATTTACTAATGAACTGTTTTCTCAATTTACAGAAGTACATTGAGGAAAAATCTGGTCCAGAGGAAAAACTTCATTGGGTTCAACGTGTCATTGAAAAAGGCTTTGCAGGTAAGCTTGAGTTGCGATGAAACATAAGAATTAAGAACTTATTTGGACAAGTAAGGTACAAAGGTTGAAAAACAAATGGTTGCTGATTAGTAACTGTTGATTCTTATCCTCATAATTGGTAAGTAATCATTTATATACATCAATCTCTTTTATATAATCAGACCAGGTAAGGACATGGTGCATGATAAGTTAGACAACTTAGACTGAATTTAGACAAGCTTACACTGTACCAGTTCAACAAAATTTCCTGCGAAAGACAAACTTAGCACATGGAATAGATGTAGGACATGCAATGATGGTGTGCAGTCTTAATTTACATAACTGACGTCTAGTTGTGTTAATTGTCATCAGTCAGCTTCAATTAACCCTCCCTCAACTTGAGACAGGAAAAGGAAAATCTGCTAAAACCGCAGCTGTCTCACCTCTTAATTAGTATAATTTCTGAAAGAATTATTTTTTCTTCCATTGACGTGTGTTTCACTCAGTTTCAGCGCTTGAAAATCTACTAAAAGCTCATGCTCTCTCAAATCTTAATATGTATATAGCTGAATGAGTTATATATTTTTTATTATCATTAATTTTTTCTGCATTTCTGTGTGTTTCAGCACTTGAAAAGCTGCTAAAAGCTCATGCTGGAAAATTTGCTACTGGAGATGAAATCTTTCTGGTTAGTTTAAGTTTGTTCTCAAGAGTTATCCATGATACAGATGGTAGCAGTTTATAGAAAATCTAAGTGATTATCTCATCTGCATATCATCTTGCGGTTTGCCCTCAGGTTGAATGGTGGCCAAAACTTTTATTGTGGTCTATTATGAAACTGTATTGACAGAACCCAACCTATTTTACAATTCAGGCAGCATTGCAATAATAAAATAGATTTCTTGGCGTGTTTGGTGAAAAATACTTGTGTTAAAAGTTAATATCTTGTCGGAAGGGTGATGATTAGTACAGTCTTCAAATGGAGTTTTCATTTGTAAACCTTTCTATAATTATTCTCTTTTCGACATTGGTGCCAATTGGAGTGCATTTATGTAAGTTCTTAGGCGTCCTTCAATATGGCCTATTCTCCCTTTGGTGACTTCATTATTGATGAAAGTTGTTTTTTTAACTAAAAAAGAAAAACAGATTTTTTGAGTTTACAGAACTATAGTATATATCGAACTTCTTTTATGCATCTATTGAGATCAGCCATTTCTTATCATTTGCAGGCGGACGTGTTTTTGGCTCCTCAAATTCATGGCGCCATTAATAGATTCAGTGTTGACATGGTATTACTGGTTCTTAAAATTTCATGTACTGGTTTTAAAATAGAGCTTACTTGTCCCATCTCTCTGCATAGCTTTGTTAACGATGAAGTACTAATACACCTTGAATACTTTGTTTTTCATTGGTTCAATATTTTTTAAGCACGTCTATTGGCCTTTAATTTGCACCTTCATTAGATATCTTTCATATATTTATATTTTAAAACCTTATTAAGAAGTGAAAGGAGGAGAGCAGTCGGAACTAGGAAGTACTATATTGCTATTATTTGAATTGGAGACTGATTAGCCTATCAGCCTATAGTATGGTTACTTCCCTGATTACCGAGGAAACGAAGATTGCTTTTCTAGGAATATTAAGGGAATTATTAGATATATTATTAGGACTGAAAACAGGGCATAATTCTCATTGAATAAAAAGTTTTTAAGAAAGTGTTTGTAAATAGGATAAATTTTAAGTTTGGGTCCTAGTAGTCCCAACTCTCAAAATTTAGGAACTAAACTTGTAATTTCACTTAGGATCGTTGGGATGGGAAGAATTTGGAATGCAGTTATTTTGGGGAAGTTTAGGCCTTTTGAAATGCTTAGATATTGAATTTTCTTTTATCATTTCAATTTTCATTGCAAATTTCGGATCATATCATTCTTATTAATCATCTGTCTGCGATCGAGTTTAAATTATTAGCGGATGACGATTTATTAATCTATTCGTATCAAAAGAGTACTCGAAAGGCTCTTCACAAACCATTAGAAGCTAGTATAGTTTTAATGCACTTACTAGATTTATGTAGTCATGATTTGTATGTGTTTGCTAATGTAGTGTCAATCATTTCTATCTATTCCTTTCTCTCTGCTCCAGCTGACCAGTTTTTATCTTGAACATTCTTTGCAGTCCAAATTTCCACTTTTATCCAGGTTGAATGATGAATACAATGCCATAGCAGCATTTCAAGATGCAGAGCCATCAAAGCAGCCTGATGCTCCTCAAAGCTCTAGCTAAGATCAACAGTAAATTTCATGTGTTTTGAAGTATAAATTTTAGAGCACAAGTTTATGGTTTGTGAATATCAATATGCTGCTTTCATTTTCCATTTCTGGATCACTTTCAACTCTTTTGGTTCTTTCATGTTTTTTGTTATTTCCCCAAATTAGATTTAGATTTGATGATGTAGTAATAAAGAAACAATGTTGACTTTTTAAGATCATATGCAACTGTACACACATTACACGCATTACACGCATTTTACTTGAAAGTAAGAATGACAGATTTATTAATTAGTTCTCAGATTCATTGTTTTGAGAATTTATTTGAAGTTAGGATTTTTGGATTAAGTTTAAAATGCCATAATGTTATATTTTTAGATTTTTCTAAATGGAAGTTGATTTGTAGTTCGAACAACTATTTCTTTCGTTTGGCATACACCTCGAAGATCAAGATTACTGCAACTTTGGTGTGTTTTTGCTAGTAAGAAACTCTCCCCACAAATTGTTTTTTTTACTTCGTTTATTTGTTTCAATATATTTTGGGTCAAAACCATCCTTTAGTATCAAATCTAGGATATTATAAAACAAATGTCATGACCATACAAAGTCGTCGGATGATATGACGATGATAAAGATCGAAAAGATCGAAAAGAGGAAGAGTGTAACACTCCAATAACCGTGTAACACTCCACGTAACCGTGTAACACTCCGGTAACCGTTTATTTTTTCTCCAAGGCTTCCACGAAAGATATATTAAGGTATTCATCTTCTTTTGAATTTTTTTTATAAACTAATTCATATGTGGAAAGTTTTAATATTAACTGTTAAATAAATTAAAAAGTATAAAACTTGAACGCCTATTATTTATAATATAAATATTAATGAATAAAAATTAAATCAATAAATATATTGTTTTCCTTCCAGTGTTTTTATTAGATATAATAAAATAGAATTCAGATTGTTTGCCAAAAAAAAAAAAAAAAAAAGTCCTTTCAATTATTTCTATTAAAGCAAAAATTTATATAAAATAGATTTATTAATTTTAGAAATTTTGAATACGTAACTAATTTATTAGATATTTCAAAAATAAAAAATGTATAAAACCAATTAACCTGAATTTATTATTAATTTTAAAAAATATATTTTTGTGTATATATATATATTTATTTATTTATTTTAACTCTTAAAAAGAATTTTAATTTTTTAAAATATATATTCAAATTAAGTTACAATTTTAATTAAATATTTGAAACTAAATAAATAGATATTTTTTCTTAATAAATAAATATAAAGAAGACTTATTGAAATCTAATATTGTAATTAATTTTTTTTTTCAAAATTCAAATTACTTCAATATTGGTTTGGTCTCTGGTGTGCCCTAATCTTTTTCCGTTTCAATTCAGCCCTCTCTAACTCTCTGTCGATCGGCTCTTCCTTCATTCAGCTCTCCCGAATCCGCCGGAGCCCTCCAACTGGCGACCGGCGACTGACCGCTGTTGCAGCTTGCAGCCTTGAAGCCGCTGTCGTGCTCTCGACTACTTTCTTCTCCTCTTACGGTATTCTTTCTCTTTTCCTTACTTTTCAATTGATCAAATTGAAGTACGTCAACCTTCAACTGAAGTATCTACAATTTCATTTCTAGAATTCCCCGTTCATTAGCTCCTATTGATTTCTCCTCATACTCTGATCACTTCCAATTTCGGTAAACATTTCAGATCTAGTGTAGTTTGTAACTTCAAACAGACATCCGGATAATTCTCTTTCTGAACTTTTGTTATGAACTTTAATTGTTTGGATTTTGATTATTATACTATGTTCCTTCTATTACAAATTTCAGATAACTGAGCAACTAGTAAGGTCTTCATTTTATTGATTACTCGGGACTAGAAGGGGGCAATGGAAGCTCAGAAAAAGGAAGAAGATAATTTAACTGCTCCTGCCAGTTCCTCTGGGTTTTTGGGTAAATTGGAAGAGAAGTATAAGGAACTCAAAGAGAATGCAGAAACATATCCTTATGTGTGGGGCTCATACATTGTTGTCTATGGTGGTTTTGCTCTTTGGACTGGCTATAGATGGAGAAAGCTTCGGAAGACCGAGGATCGAGTACGTGTGCTACAGGAGAAGCTTCGACAACGTTATGAAGCCGAACAGTCTGCCAAACAATCGGCCAATTCAGTGGCATCAGTTGAAAAAGTCTCGCAATCTGTTAAACAGCCTCCTTCCAATCAGTAACCAGGTTTTGAACTAGTTTCATGTTGCTCCTTACCCCCACCCAGAAAATAAGCTATTGGTTGGATATATATATATATATATATATATATATATCACATGGGCAATTGAGAAGAGTTCCAACGTGTGGAAATTTTGGAGAATAGTTTGATTTTTGATGCCTCTTTTTCTTCTGACTGGTATTTTTGTTCAGGTAGAGCATTTTTTGAAATGTTGAACATGTGAGACTTCTTATAACTCAATTAGAGGGGCACTTTTGATATTTTTTTGTATGCTGGAAGAGATAATAAGTTCAAGATCACTTATGGAGCTCTTTTTTTAGCTCCTTTCACAGGGGATTTCCCTTTATCCTTTTCTTTCCATATTTTTCATCACATCAATGAAAAAAAAGCTTGTTGGCAAAAAAGAGAGAGCTCTGTTCTAGTTAAAGATCAATTGTGCAATGTAAATAAGGAGTCAGAAGAACAATTTACTTTTAACACATAATGACCTTTGTTGGAGGGAGTATTACTGTGTTCAACAGGATTCGAGCTTTTCACCTCTTTGTTGAAGATACTATTACCAGAATTGGACCCGTTTTTGGTGAAATAAAATGGTAATGCTAGCTGCTGCACATCGTTTCCCATCGACGTGCTTCAATGCAAGGAAGCTTTAGGAAAGACTGATTGTAATTTGAGAGTTTAGGCACTTTTACTTCTCATTAAAGTTCAAAGTTCTTTCCATTGGTTATTGACAGAGCTAATGGAAGAATACTTTTAGGTTTTATTGGATCTTTTTGAGAACTGATAAGATTGCTTTTACTATGCATTAACTGTTCTATTAACAAGTTTTGGGTGAAATTACATACCATTCAATACTTCTCTTTTTAATTCTTTTAGCAAGAAATATATGAACAGCCTTATTTTAGAATGATATTCTATGAAGAAAATATTTTGAAGTATTTTGCTGGAAATATGATGGATTGAATTCTTCATTCAACTTTTGTTAGTTCGACATTTGCACAGGTGGGGATCTAACCATTGGTCGTTCAAGTGGTAATTGGTGGCTTATCCAATAGATTTGGTTGTTTTTCTTTGACCAATTGTTTGAGGTAACTCGATTATGCATATTAGATTTTGGTCGTTTTTCTTTGACCAATTGTTTGAGGTAACTCGATTATGCATATTTCCCGATATTTAATTGGGTTCAGTTTTGATTCGACTAGAAAATTACTGAACTTATACTCGAAAAGAGAAATGTTTTGATGTATATGGGCAAAACTTTGGATGCCTAAAGGTCATAATTAAAAGTAGAAACAACTATCTGGGTTAGAAAATATGCATTCACTATAAATTAAGATGTAAAAATTCCAACTATTACAGGGAGTTCAAGACATCAAATTAAAATCATTGAAGAGCTATCTATATCCTATCCGGTCACATGCCATGGACGAAAAGACACTTTTCGACCACTTGTTTAACTAATGACAGAATAAGATTTAGATCGACGTATATGAACAACATGACTATCATATATATACACACTCATGAAACATGAACAAGATCAATTTTTAGTTTTTCTTTCCCTGGTTTTGCTAATATGTGCTAATGTGTTCGTGTTGTGATTTCTATTTTAAGCAACTTTTAATGGAGGAAAGTCAAATTCTATAAGACATTCATTCATGATTCATGGTCTAATTCTTCCTCCATAGTAACAAAGCTTGCAATGGAGCTCAATTTTTAGCTTTACGACCCCATTGTTATGGCTAATGGCTTTTCACTTTCACGAGACACTCTGGAGTTGTTCGATGATGAATTGCTTTGCCTTTGATTGCCGTCCTCCTTATAAGCCTGACACCCTGCATCACTTTGAGGGGATTCATTAGGAGTATTATTATCGGCATTTTCGTTATTTGTTGCCGCTGCATCTTCGTTCACAACTAAGCCAAGGGAGACTCTAAAACCACATGCACGTGAGATGATTCTATACAAGAAAGTTAAGAACCAAAAGAACCAAGGGAGGCAGACCAATGATAAGCCTGCGACCGGTAGCCACGCGGTGTTTTCGGTCTCAGGTAGGGTAACATACATCAAAAGGCATCCGCCGCCGCTGAGAACAGAGAGGAAGAGAATGAAAGTAACGATCCATATTAATACACGTCCAACTGATGGATCGACCAAAGACATTTGGTTTTAGACCTCTCAATGGATCAAAAGAGGGATGAAAGCTTCAAAGCCTGAGTTAGAAAGATGATCTTCTTCGTGTGACCATCTTCCATCTTCCTCATTTAGACACGTTATGAATCAAAAGCTCGTGATAGAGTTGAACCGAAGGCAATCAAGATTGTTTTGTGATCAATTGTGAACCGAAAAAATTTGAAGAAGTGAGAGGGAGGATGATCATGAAGGGTCTTGCACGCAAAGGATTGGTTTGAAAACTTTGTGGAGAGATCCTCACGAGTTTCAGTTTGGAGGAACAATATCTACAAAAAAATTTGGTCATGTTTTTTTTTTAATGGTGTTGCGCAATTTCAGCTCTCTCAAAATTAGTCAATTTTTTCCTTTTTTTTTAAAAAAAAAATTAAATTACTTTTTAAATTTTCTTTATAATATACCAATCACGAACATCTAAAAAAAACCTAAAATAGTTACAACACAAACGAAACTTTTACGATCGTGACTAAATGTGGAAGCTAACTATGATGAACTATCTCATGTCTTCCATAACAGACGCGTAAACTTTATAGGGTTCTCAATACCTAATAATTAACCCGCTTTTGGAGTTAGGAGATGAAATATATACACAATGTCTATTACTATCCGACTCGTAGGACCGTGGAACCTAAAACCTAAGTCCACTTTATTTTCAAGGTAAAATTGAATGTACATTTATTTCATTATACATGGTCTATGTACATGGACACAGAACCCGTTAGGTGAGTATCGAACTTTTCTAGGTCTGATTATGGGCATGCGTACACTCGCACAACCAAAACCAACAAATAAAAAAAAAAAAAAAATGGACGCGTAATAAAGTATCATAATTTTATGCGTACACATAATACATGTCAATCTATGTTGAATTGAACACATAACATACATGAAATCTCACAATGTAAGAGAAAATAGTTGTTCATTGATACGATACGTTAGCATGTATTCATGCATGATCATAACTCGTAACTTATGTGATTGACATTCATATCATATGCTATTTTTTCATACATGATGATGATTCTTAGAAATTATGATTAATTATCAGTGACATATCTTAATTACACAACATCCAACAAACTCATCATGATGACACATGTTAGTTATAGGACATACGATTTATCCAACCAAACACGAACTTGAAATGTAGTAACCTACTAGATCGAGTTGTAAAATGCCAAAATGTAATGCACGAAACTATAACGAACATTCGAACAAGACATAGGCGTGACTTGCAGCGAACAATATGCAACCACGACTTACAATGAACTGAATGCAGTTGTGACTTGCATAAAATCAAATCAGTCATAACTTGCAGGGAAATATAATGGTCGATCGAAGATGAGAGTGATACCAACGGTTGGATATGATCCACGGTCGAAATATACTGAATAGATAAATGAAGTAAAAAGAACAACTTAAGAGTAGAGTTTTTTAAAGCAGAATAACCTTAAACACTATGCTTTTCAATTCTCTTTGTTGTTATTAAGGAGAAAACACTCAAAAATTTCCTTGACTTTCAAGTTAAAACCACTAGCAATACTCCTAAATAAATCACTAACTATTTTCCTAACTTATACAAGTTAGTAACTATTTTTATCAAGTCAAGTTTATTGATTCACATTCTTACCGGTAAGTTTGACTTTGGTTGAGAATCTTCACTTCGACCAACTCTTGCATGTCTGTAAAGCTTAGCCCTTGCTAGGGCCTTGGTGAGAATATCAGCACGTTTCATGATATCCTCTAGGCTTCTTTGGTTGAGATGACAAGTTTGATATCCCATTTTTCTTACACTCTGGTGACCTTCCTCTGGGTCTCCTTGGTTGAGATGATAAGTCTGATGAAACAAACCGACTTGTAGGTTGCTTTTTGCTGATTTAAGTAGCCTATAGTTTCTTCTTGGCACTGTTCTTTGGTTCCTTTTTCTCCTGACCCACCGATTTCTTCTTCCCTTTTTTGTTCCCAACGCCAAGGGATACTTTTGGAAGATATTGATGGTCTTTCAATAGTACTTTATACATACGGTTTTGCTGTTTTATTTTTATCAACACGGATTTGTTTCTGTTAAATATCTTGTGGAATGAGCCGACTAACTTCATTCTACTACATTCTTCTGTCATTTGACTAAGGCTAATAATATTTCTCTTCAAACTCGAGATGTAATATATCTTGGTCAATAGACGTTGATCGTCGTTCTTACACTGGAGCAAGATGGATCATTTGTCTTGGATCGGTACAATTTATTCGTTTCAATGCTTCACGTTTCCAATGAACTTCTCATTAAGCTCTTTGAACTTTGCTTAATCTTCGATCATGTTGGTCTCCATTTGGTCTTTTTTGTCTGCAAGGAGGTTTGTCATAACCTTCTCTTCATTGAGCCTCAATGGGTTGGACATTTTTTCGGCCAAATCAATGCATGCTCTTCATCATATGTAATGTGAGGTTTACCTCCTCATCCCACTCCTTGTTGCGGCACTCTACCGCATGTTGCCCATATTTTCCACAAACGTAGCACTTGATCATGCTCTTATCCTTCCAGGGGTTGGCATTATCATGGGTTTGTGAAGTATTGTTACGATCTTCTTTGTTGCGACGTTCGTGGCCACGGCCGTAGCCACGCCCACGCCCACGCCCACGACCTCTACTTTCATTGTTGTGGCTGTCATATCCTTTTGTACCTGAAAATGAAGAATCAGTTGCATCTTTCCTTTTCAATTGTGCGATCCATTCCTTGTGTGAGTAAGAGATGTTTATTCTCCTCTCTGTCGTTGTAGCAACGAAGTCTCTACTCATGGATTTTAAGAATACCAACAACCTCATCAACCAATATGTTATTGAGGTCGCCAAACTACTTAATGGAGGTAACCATATGTATGAATCTCAGGAGAATAACTCAAAAGAACTTCTTGACGACAAAGATCTCCCCCAGTTTGTCGTTTATGGAATGGATGCCGTTAATGATTATCGTCAACTTCATAGCAAAGTCGTCTATTGACTCACCGTCCATCATGCGGATGGCCTCAAACTCACTCTTCAAGGTCTGCACCTTTGCTTCCTTGACACATTCTACATTCACATGCATTATTTGCAGCATCTCCCACGCTGCGTGTCCTTCCCTGCCAACATGACAAGGAAGTCTTCTGAGACTACTCGAAAGATGACAGAAAGAGTCATCCTATCCTTATGCTCCTCAACTTCATTACCATGCTCGATAGCATCTCACACGCATTGTGACTGTAAGTTAACACACATCTTTATCAACCATGTTGCATAATTACTCTTCGTGTAACGGATACTAAAACATTACACTCTCCTCCTTTTCGCTCTTTATCATTGCCATATTTCCTTTGGTGACTTTTAAGGTGACCGCATTTGTTTTGGCATCCTAGCTCTGATATCTATTGGATAGGGCCCACAATCAGAATATGTCGAGAAACAAATAAACGAAGGAACAACTTGAGGGGAGAGTCTTAAATCAGAAGAACCTTTTTCAATTTGCTTTTGTGAATCTCTATACATCTAATGAGTACTTGCATAGAAGAAAACACCAACAAATACTCATAAATAAATCACTAACAATACTCCTAAATAAATCACTAACTATTTTTCTAAACTTACCCAAATTAATAACTATTTTTATTCAACATATTTAGATATATTAAAAATAAAGGAGTAAAATTAATTTAGAGGGTTCCGAGCAAACATTTAATATATTGAATATATTAAATACAAAAAGAAAAAAAAATATATTTAATTTAAAGAGTTGAAATTAGTATTTAGTACATTTGATATTATTAAATATAAAAAATATATCTAATTTAAAGGGTTGAAATTAATATTTAATATATTAAATATATTAAATAATATTTAATATATTAAATATATTAAATAATATTTAATGGGAAGGATTTCCATTAATACTCTGTATATTAGATATATTAAATATAAATGGTTTCTAAGTTTGTATCGATCCTCGTTTTATAAATATATAACTTACCGAAATATAATTTATTTTAATTTTTCTTTTAAAGGAAATTGATAATTATTTTATTATCATTCTCATATTTGATTTAACTTAGAAAAAACGAATCATTGCATGCTCATCTAAACATCAAATAGAAGAGGCCAACAATTGGACAACAGGACCCTCAACAAATGGGCTGCCTTTTTGGACTAAATAGCAAATACAGCACATGAACTTTTCAAAGTAGATCAGCAGAGCACAGAATTTCACAATAAATTCACAAATATGCGGTAGATGTCTTTCACATCATCTCCTTTAATTCAATTTCAACGACTATGATGAACATTAAAAACAAAGGCCTTTCAAAATATGGCATCCTCACCAAGTCAAGGAGGGGGCTTTCGCGGCTTTCTCCTTGGACAACCTCTCTACCAAGACTCAGATTCAGAAATCCCACCAAAAAACAAAAAAAAAAAAAAAAAGAACGGTTTTCGGGGGCACATCGACACGGTAGTTTCTTGTACAAAGAACAGTTTAAGACGTTTATAATACCTAAACTTTGGCTGAAAATTCTATTGGATTTGTTTGATTGATACTAACCAGTTACTAGTTGAAGCTTGAAGGGCGGCTGCATCTACCTTGCAAGTAATCCTCTATGGAAAATGCTTTGTATTCCACTGCTAACAGAAAGTGAGTCATCTTCCAAGCCAAGCAACGCTAGGTTAAGGTGTGATTGGATGTTAGTAGGTAGAGGTTCTTCGTCACTCGCATCGAATTCGTTTGATTCATCGATTTGTTGTCTTGCCCATGTTGTTATTTCCTCATCACCTTGGAGAAGTTTCAATACCTGAAGTTTTGAATAAAACAAATGAAAGGGAGGAAGGGAAAACAACAACAATGATGACATTGACAAACAATGACAAGTAGAAGAGGCCAAAGAGGTTGTGCATTTACTCAGCTTACCAGGCTGATTTGAGGGCGATGTCTCGGTGCTCGTCTAATACAAAGGGTAGCAGCCAAAATCATTCGACCTATTTGATCGTGGTTGTAGTCACTGCCTAGGCTTGGATCTAGCAATTGTGAAACTTTGCCTTCCATCAGAATTGGCTTTGCCTGTATTACACATCCATCAGTTCCATAAACAAATTTGAGCGAAGTTCAGACAATCAAATTCATGGCAACTTGAACACATTGTCCCAACATATGGATAGTAGAGGTCATACCAAGAAAATTGAAACTTACCCACATTACGAGACTCTCCTCCCCCTTGGGACAATTGTCGTTGATTGGTTTTCTACCTGAAAGTAGCTCAAGGAGTACCACACCGAATGCATAGACATCGATTTTGTCGCTCACTTTTCCGTGCAT